TTATAATAATTAATATAAAAATTAGTACAAGTATAGTACAAGTACAGTGGTAATTTTATCTAGTACATACAAAATTCCCAACTCTGCCATTGACCAATTAACTGATGGTTTACATTCCATATAGAATTAACCCGCATCTTGTATTTAACTCAATTTATGTATATTGTTCCAAATTAGATACAAAACATTTGATCTTATCTTGATTTTATTTAAACTTTGTACTTCCTAAATTAAATAACTACATACATGATAGGCTTAAAAAAATATAACTATAATTATTATCCTTAATCTTATTATTTTATAAAGAAAATTAATAAAAAAAAAAAAAATGGTATAAAAATTGACCGATTTATCTTAAAAAAGCATGTGATTTATATTGATTTGTTTCAGATTGTCTAAATACTATTGTGAAATCAATAATCATATTAGTTCCATTAAAATTCTCGTCAGAAATTAAATTAAATCGAATCTTTTTTAAAAGTTCGCTATATTAGATAGATATATTACTTGATCGTATTTGTTCCTTTCAGATTTATTGTCGAAAATCGAATAAAAAATTGTTGTAAAAATATTATTAAAACACGTTTGTCCGCTTCAAATTTTTGCCAAAATTAAATTAAATTGAGTAAAAAGTTATTGTTCATATTTTTTTGTCTTATTGCACTGACGAAATAATTCTAAAATTTTTTTTTGCCTAAACCATGATGACACGTGACGATCGTCACGTCATCCACTAATAATCTATAATTTTTTTAAATGCATAATCATCACAGGATTTACAATGTTCGATATTTATGCCTTTCGATAACCCACAGGAAGGGCACTCATTTTTTCGAGGAAGTTCTTTTCCTTGATCTCTCATCATTTGTGATTTTCTCTGCCAATTTGCTTTCTCATATTCAGATAGTTTATTCCACTCTATAGAAGCTAATCGACTATGTCTTGTCATCTTTATGTTATGTGTTTCATCGATCAAAGCTTCTCTGCGAAAAAGTATAAAAGAGTTGGGAACTCTTTTTTTCTTTTTGGTATCTTTTTGAGGATTTGGATCGTAAAATATGATATTTAATTCACTCATTTCAATTAAGTAAAGAAAAAGCAAAGCAGTGCAGAATTAACGATTCGATTCTGACACGACGACGGTACGGTGTTTTTATAATAAAATTCGTAACTGACGGAAATTATCATCCGTATTATAATTGATGTGATGATGTAAATTTTTTTTATCCTTCTAGAATCATTCTCAAATGCGCGGATCAATTTTCCGCCACCTTTCGTGATATCACATAATAGGATTTTCCCCTTTTTTTTACAAAAAAGGATTTCGACAATGATGTATTAATAAATTATGGTTTAAATTTGTGGAAACCTTTGAAGCCGAAATCATGCCAGGTAATAATAACATTGATAATTTTGTAAATTCCAAATTTGATTCAATAACTTCGGAAAATTTTCTCCCTCATGGACTTCATGGAACTTCCCGAATACTTTGAATGAAATAACATTCTTAATTTCAAAGAAAAGTATATAGTTTAACAATCATAAACTCCTTATTAGCAGAAATATGTTCTTTAATGCATCGCTAGTGCGATTTATTTCCTATTTAGTTTTAGTGTATCTATTTTTAACTATTTTTTATTTAATTTTCGGCGAAGACCACCATTATTTTGAAATTGTTAAAACAAGAAAACATTCATGTCACAACAGTTTGATTGATTTATTTATTCAAAATACGCGTGTTGACGATCTAGATTTTAAACAAAAGAAAATTCGTGTTCATAACCTTTCTAGACACCCTAATTAAATTTGTTAATTTGACGAAAATTCAGTTTACCATGAAAATCTAAAAGCTCGGAGATGATAAGAATAAGACGAAATAATATTTTTTAAAAAATAAAATATTATTATTAGGCCTGTTCAACTTTGTGTTACATCCTATTGTTGCCAATCTATATCGTATCGAGCATAATATAAACTCGGTAAGATTATCAATCTTACAACCACGTGATCTAGTAAAATATATTTGTCACCGCATGTATTCTGGGACGTCACAAATGCCGGAACAAAGTCACGTGGGGTGATTAAATAATCAACGACATTTCATAATTGATCGAGCCAATTTGTTCCCCATCAACAAATACTATACTGACCAAAAGCGTCTACGTTAAATAATTCAATGCATAATTTTGCTTCGTGATCCATCGGTAAATAATTTTAGAAGCTGCATGTGATTATCTTTTAAGTACTAACAAGTAATTTAACCGATTCAGAAATTAGACAATGGTAAGTTTTTTAAACAATTAAATTCGTCAATAAGTAAGTTAGCCATTACATTATAGAAATAATGTTAATAGGTTGTCTTTAAATAGACGATCAACAAAATACATACTTGGCGGCAAACCAAAATATACGGAACAAATACAAAAGATCAAATTCCGACGATAACATTTTCTTTTCTAATTAGAAGAAGTATCTAACCTCTTTAAATGAATAAGGGTTAAAAACTTTCTATTCGCTTTTTTACAATGCGTTTTGAACAAATACCTTTCGATCTAGAAATGATTTTAGAGTTCCTTATTCATTTATTTTGTAATGAGGTTGATAAATTATGAAAAAGAAATATAATTATAAATACTCAAGGTTTGTTCTGGCCTTTTTGAATAATTTCAAACTTTATTAGTAATAAAGGTATTTAAAGAAAATTTTTTTTGTTAAATTGTATAGGTTATTCACATAAACATCACAATTCCTAGGATTTTTTTTTCGAAAACATGGCTAGGTATACCAATGCATATTTAATCTTTCGTAAAAAGAGAATCGATCCTTCGCGAAAGATTAAAATGACGATAATCTCAAAAGAAACTGCGTCAAAATGGAGAGAAAAAAACGATTCACAAAAAAGAAAACATTTTCACGCAGCTGCAAAGGATGCAGTAGATAAGGAAATCGCTTCAGGTAGAAACAATCTTACGAAAAAATCCTTTGAACAACACGGAACTATTGCGTTTGTGAACGAAACTCCAATTACCAAAACCGAAAATCGACTTGTAGAAACCAAAATGGAATTTGTCCAAACCGAAGAATCCGAAGTTCGACATATTGATGTTAATGTACCAAACGCAAACGAGTTCGCTAATATAAATATTAATTTCGAAGAAATGATTACTGTAACTCAACCCTCTTACCTTGATGATTTACAAGACACAAACGAAGCCGTACTGTTTGACCTATACATTAATTTTGAAGGGGACAACAATACATCCGAAATGATTAATGGTGTACCACCTACCGAGTATCTTTAAGTCGTATTTTGCTATCTATTTTTTGTAATTTGTAGCAAGCCACTATTTGGTTTCGTCGTCGTTATTTTTAATTACGTCTTTCATTTCCTATGTATTATTATTACTTTTATTTTTCGTTTTTATACTCGGGTTTTTTTTCGAGTTTACGTTATTATTTATGATGATATTTAAGTTTTTTTTTTAAAAAAAAAAAAGAAAAAAAAAATGTAAATTCAATAATTACATACGCATTATACTTCTTATATATTATTTTATGCCTAAAATTGCTCGTTTAATCAAACACAATAAAATTTAATTTTTCTATTGGGGGAAAAATAATTTCATTTAAAACTAAATAAGTACTGATTTAAAAATTCTTATCTCGTGTAATTTGTGTAATGCAAATTAATCGAAAATACTTTAATTGTTCTAACCGGTTTTGATCAGTTTTAAACAATCATGCTAAATATAAACCACATAATTTCGGCTAAGCAACTCCCCACAAAAATCCTCGGGCACGTGATTATATATAATGTGGCTAATTTTAAATAAATCAACCTAATCTCAGAAAGCTTTGATTGGCTTATCATTTAGCTATATCATTGAATTTTATTATGAAAATTTTTCGATAATAGTCTATATTATCGAAAGTTTAGTATAAAATTCACATAATATTTGAATTTAAATAAAAAGTTAGCTTTAAACTAAAATGTATGATACTATTTTATTATATTATTACGTTTATTATGTAAAAAAAAGAAAAATACTATTAACGTTTTTATATTAAAAACAAATTATTATTAATATTATTTACATTAAAAAAAATAGCACCAATTATTATTACATTGTTACATTAAAAAACTACTATCATTATTCAAGTATAGTAATAAAATTATTGAGATTAGTTTGTCTCACCAAAATAAACTGCTATTTCAAAGCTTCATTTTTAAGCTTTTTAATAAGCTTTAATTCTTCTTTATTTACATTAAAAACTTCTTCTTGTTATTCTAATTATAAATTTACTTTATTATAAGTTTTAATTGCTTCATTATAAGTAATTATTAGAAAGGATCTTCTTCTCTTATTCATTAGGTTCTTGTTTATTAGGTAAAACTGCTTATACAATTTCTTCATCAAATATCATTTCTTCTGTAGTCTCAAATTTATCATATTGAATAAATTCTTTGGCAGTTAAAATTATCAAATAGTATACTTACAGCTTCACTATATTATCATAAGTTATACTATTTCTTAAAATTGTTTACCTATCTATTTGAACCTTTAAATTTATCCTTACTAAACAAAAAATCAAACCTTTAAGCTTTAGTTAAAAAAATATTACTAGTTATAATAAGGCAGCTTAGAACATATTTTCTATCTAAAAGTTAAACTTTTTCAATAAAGGAAAGATTATTTTTTTTTTATATTTCAAACTAACTTTATATGATTCAGTATCTATAAAAAGCTAGCGATCCTTTTCTTTTAAAATATCACTAATCATATTCTTACTAACTTTATATTTATTTGCTAAATCATTTTGTTTTAATAATAGGAATGAAATTTTTTTTATATAACAATAAGAGACTTTTATTTTTTTAAAGGTTTATTACTAGATTTCTTTTTTCTTTAAGTTTACTTTTGGCATTTTATGTTAAAGAAAAAATATAAAAAAAAATTGTGAAATATATGAAACAAAGTAATATTTAAAAAAATTGTAAAACATTATATGAAATACTTTCATTAACTTTATTAAAATACAAAAAATTATAAAATTTCATATACAAAGTTTATCTTTTCTATTAAAATTTATTTTTGTAAAGTTCCATTATATTAAAAAAAACTTTATTATAAATAATTATGTTATATAAAGAGGCATTTATATAATACTTGTTTACACATTTTAATTTATTAAATATAATATAAATTTTAGTTTACTAAATTTGGTATAGCAAGATATTTATTATTTAAAAATCTGTATTATATTAAAGATCTGTTATCTGTTATATTATAAAATTTGTTATATTAAAATTGGCTATAGAAAAAGTTGACTGAATTAAGTAAATATAATAAAAATTTATAATTATTTAATTACTCTACTATAATAAGTAAATTTCTTATTATCAAACTTTATAATCTTAAAAAATCTCACATTTTACAGATATCTAGAATTTTTTTAAATTACTGATTAAAATTTAAACTTAGAAACTTAGAAAATTTAATTATTTTAGTAATATTTTCAAAAGCAAGTTTGTTAATAATTTACTATCAAATTTTAAAATAAGAGATACGTAAAAGAAAAAAGTTATTATATTTTCAAATTGATTTTTTTTATCATTACTTAAAACTTACAAAAGAGGTAATTTTACATTTTAAGCAAAAAGTTATTCCATTTATACAAGATTAATTAATTAGTTATTATGTTATAAACAAATTAAATTTATAAATAAAATTAACTTTCTCAATAGTCGTACCATTTATGATCACAATCACTTATATTTTATAATTATAAATTGTTTTAAATTTTATATTAAATCTACCATATTGTTAACATATGATTTTAGTGAATTGTTATAGTTAAACGAGATGTTCGAGTATTATTTTTTTTTAATATACATAATAATTACTGATCTTTCCTGAAGTCCTTGACTTATAACTGATATCACTTGAATATATTTAAACTATAATTCTCTAAGATTTTTAGGTTTACAAAAATTCACAACGGCTGTAGTTATCACGAAAGCTTAACTGTTGCTTTAATTCACAAAGGTTTATAATATTACTTAAAGTGCAGTTTATTGCTAAGACTTATGTATCACACAGACTTGTAGATTTCACTCAGATGTTAAATATCACGCCATCATTTATAGATCACACAGTAATAAATGATAAAATAGTTTATTGATAATAAAATAAATAAATAAAGATTAAAGAATTATTACACAAAGTCGAGTAAAATTCTTTAAAAATAAAAGAAATAGATAAAATATATAAAAAGAATGTTAACATCAGGCTAGAGGAAATCTAACTTCCTACCGTTCTAACATTTATTATTTATAAAATAATTTACATATAATAATAAAGAACTAAATAAGATATATTAACTAAATCAATAATATTTAATAAATTAACTATGTTAAGAATGTTATTAATGTCAAGAATGTCAAGAATATCATTAATGTCAACTATATCAATAATGTTAAGAATATCACGTAATACATATGCAAATCAATTTGTAGATCATCCAGTAGATCAATTTTGTGTAATTGCTTGTGTAATTTCTTTAGTAGATCAATTTAGTGAAACATGTCGATCATTTGCTTTGTCACATTTTCTTGCTAAAATTATCCTGCAATAATATTAGGATTGGTTTAAGTAAGGTTTTAGGATTAGGATTAGAGTAAAGGGATTATTATTTGTTATACATTAATAGTGTATGTGAATTAGCAAAATAAATTCAGTTATCATTTTTTCATAATGATGTTAGAATTGTTAATAAGTTAATAGCTGATTATCTATATAATATATTTATGAGTATTAAATTTTGAATAAGATATTCTTTATAAAAAATTTTTCATTTAAAATGTATAAATATAAACTTTTTTTTTAATAAAATAAAGATTTTTTTCTATTTTTTTTAATAAAGAAAATAAGAAAAAATACTTTTTTTTATTATATAATTAACCTTTTATCATTATTTTAATATTTAGTATAAAAATATTAAATATATACAAATTAAATCTGAGAATTATTAAAAGGTTTTACTAATATTTCAAAATTTTGTTAATTTTACCATTTTATTTTAGTTTAATCTAATTAGAAAGTTTTAGATTTATTTCTTGAAATCTGAAATATTTTAGCTTTAAAATATTGAATTTGCTTTTAATAGTATACAGAATAATAAGTACTTTTATTTCTTATAATAAAATATACAAAGTGGATTAAAAATAACTTTTATTTTATAGCAATATAAAAATTTAATATCATCAGCAGTTTTATTTTACATAATTTTATATTAAAGAAAATATATATATATATAATTTATATAAACAGTTTTAAAATTCAAATAAACTATGTGTATATATTAAAAAATATTTTAAATCATATTTTTTATAATAATATAATATATTTGTTACTAATTAATTAATCATCAGTATCATCCATACAGTTCTACAAAAGTATAAATGTTATTATTTTTTTAAAATCTAACTAAAAGAATCTCTATCCAAGGTTTAAAGGTTAATAGTTTCTGATCCGTTTAGTTTTAAAAAAAAATAAAAACTAAAAAATTCTCCATTCTTACGTCCGATTCATCATTTATTTCAGGATTCCAGGATCTGCAGGACTTTATGTCTGCAAAAAAGAGGTAAATAAAAAAAAATAATTGTTTTTTATATTAATATTTTAAAAGAAAAAATGAAAAACTTACTTCTGATTCATTATTTAATCCAGGATTCCAGAGGACTTTAATATCTGCAAAAAAGAGGTAAGTAAAAAACCTTTTTTTTTACATTAATATTTTTAAAAGAAAAAAAACTAAAAAAAAAATTTTCAAATTCATGGATTCCGGTGAAATTTTGTCATCTAAATAAAAAGATAAGTAAAAATATATTATATATATATATTTTTTATTTTAATTATTTTAAAAAAAAATTTAAATTACCTCCGATTCAACATTCAATCAAGGATTTCAAGATTTCGAAGGCTTCAAAGTATCTAAAAAGAGAGATAAGAAATCAATTTTTTTATTTTAATTATTTAAAAAGAAAAAAAATCAAATGACTTAACTTCGATTCGTAGAGACTTTCAGCATCTACAAGAAAAATAAGTAAAAAAAATATTAATTATTTTAATTATTTTAAAAATAAAAAAACTTACTTTCGATTTATTATTTATCCAGGATTCTGGAGTGTCATCTTTGGCAAGAAAGGTAAGTAAAAACTTCCAATATTTATTATAATTATTTAAAAGAAATTAAAGAAATTAATGAATAATTAATTACCTTCGATTTATTATTAAATTTA